GACTCCTCCTTGGGTTTCTGGGGCAGTATGACTACAGAAGTAGATTGCCCCATATTCCTTTTGAGGAGTGGCTGGTGGGTTTGAACCACCAGCCTTCTGGTTAGCAGTCAAATACCTTAGGCACTATGCCACCAGAGCTCCTCCTAAAAGCTTAGTGTAATAATAATGCCAATGTAACTTTTTATTTGATAAAAAATTAAATGACAGCAGCTATGTAAAAAGGAGCTCTGGTGGTATAGTGGTTAAGGCATTTGGCTGCTAACCAGGTCAGTGGTTCAAACCTGCCAGCTGCTCCATGGAAAAAAGTTGGGGCAATCTACTTCTGTAAAGATTTACTGCCTTGGAAACCCAATGGGGGTTGCTATGAGTTAGAATTGACTCGATGGCAGTGGGTTTGGTTTGCTTTTGGTTTAATCTTTACAGATATAGATTGCCACATCTTTCTCCCGTGGAGTGGCTGGTACTTGGAACCACCTACCTTTCAGTTAGCAGCTGAATGCCTAACCACTGTGCCACCAGAGCTCCTGTGTCCCAGGCACTGAACTATCACATGGAGTTTAAGAGCATGGACTGCAGAGAAGACTCCTTGAATTAAGACCTTGTTTCTAGCACTTACTGGCTCTGTGACTTGAGACAAATTACTTAATTTTTATGCACTTTAATATTTGCATCTGTAGAATGAGGACAGTAATGGTCCCCATAGGGTTGTTGTGACAATTGGATGAGTAGATCCATGTAAAGGATGTGGAGCAGTGCCTGGCACATAGTGCTGACAACTATTGCTATCATTACTAGTGATGAGGAGACAGTGGTTATTAAGCTGTAAGCCCTGATGGAGCTTACAGTTTAGTGGGCTAACATTTTTAACCAAAGAGATAAGGAGGGTTGTCTCTTTGGCCTTGATCCTAGAAAGAGACTATGACTGTAACTGGGCAAATCTCCTTTAGAAAAAATGACACCAAATATAGTGTGATGCACTTCTCTTTAAACAATTGAGGCTACTAACCACGAGGTCAGTGGTTCTACCCCATCAGCCATACTGCAGGAGAAAGATGAGGCAGTCTGCTTCTGTAAAGATTTACAGGTTTGGAAACAGTACGGGCAGCTCTACTCTGTCCTGTAGAGTCACTATGAGTTGGAATCAACTTGATGGCAGTAGGTCTATAAGAAAAATGGTGGATGCTGGATTAATGTTTTTTTTCCCTAAGTTCAAGAGGAAATCTTTACTCACTTCAAGATTATAGTAGAGCATACAGGGGGCAAAGTTATGAAAACATCTTAGTCATAACCAAACATCTTGAGAGAATGAGTCACTGGGCCTAGGGGCTCAGGACCATAGTTTCAGGGGACACTAAAGTCAATTGACATAACTATAAAGACAGTGTTCTACATCGTACTTTGGTGAGTAGCAGCTGGGGTTTTAAAAGGTTGTGAGTAGCCATCTGAGGTGTAACTATTGGTCTCTCCCTGTCTGGAGCAAAGAAGAGTGAAGGAAAGCAAAGACTCAAGGAAACAATGAATCCAAAGGACTAACAGACCATGTGAACCCCAACCTCCACTATCCTGAAACCAGAAGAACTAGATGGTGCCTGGCTACCTTTGCTGACCACTCACAACGGGATCACAATAGGAGTGGGATAGAGTGGGAGAAAAATGTGGAACAAAATTCAAAATCATAAGAGAGACCAGGCTTACTGGTCTGACAAAGACTGGTGGAACCATTAGACTATGGCCCTCAGACACCCTTCAAGTCTGGAACCGAACTCACCCCTCTGCCTCAACTTTCAGCCAAACAATAGGCCTAGAAGGTGAACAATAATAAAACCAGCGAGGTACACACTCATTAGAACAGTCAACCATACCAGATCAAAAGGGCAGCATTTGCCCAGGGATAAAGCTAAGAAGGCAGGAAGGAATAGGAAAGAAGGGTGAAGGGAAATGGTAGACACAGGAAGGAAGTAGGAAGAGTGTTGTTACCTTGTGGGGATTGCAATGAATGTTACAAAACAAAATGCGTATGAATTATTGAATGGAAAACCAGGTTGCTCTGTAAACTTTCACCCAAATCACAATTAAAAACCAAATAGACTGTTTTGCTAATTTAAAAGAAATAAATCATTACCATCCTATTGAGGAAGGGGAGGAAGAAAACATTTTTTTTGCGTGTGTGCTTTAGGTGACAAGTTTACAGAGCAGAGTTTGTTGTAGATTCAATATCACATGTACATTTAGTTTCACTCCCCATTTACCACGCCCAACCCTAACCCAGTCTCCTCCCCTTCCTACCCAGTAACCCTCCCCCATGGCCTTCATAGTTATGCGCTCCTGTGTAACCTGCATTTCCCAGTGGGAATGTTGCCCCTCTGGTGCCCCGTGGTCAATCATTCCAAGGGGTGCATCTCCATAGAGTATGTGGGTGCGTCACCCTGGGTTGAGTGGTCTGTGTGTACATCTTGTTAACTATTGGGCTGAGAGCCAGCCCCTGGGAGTGAGTTTTATTCCAGGCCCAGAATGTATTCCAGGGCCATAGTATTGGGGGTTTCACCAGACTCCATCCGACCAATAATTCTGGTCATTATTGAGTTTTTGGATTCTGTTCCACTTTTTTCCTCTCACTCTATCCAGGATCTCCAGATTTGCTCCTTTCCTGAGTGGTTGGCATTGGTAGCCGGGCACCATCTAGTTCTGGTTATACAGATAACACAACATTGTCATTTCAGCATTGTCTCAAGGGCCATCATGTCCTAGGGCTGATTGCTGAGGAAGAAAATATTGTGATGTAAATGACAGAAGTGCAATTCAAACTAAAAAAGTGGGGATTTATTGAGTTCAGAAATGGAATGGAATAGAAAACTCCAGGGGTGGACTTCAGGAATTGTTGGATCCAGGGAGTCAAACGATATCAGCAGGAATATGTTCCATCTCTTAGCTCTGTGTTCCTTGATGTGAACTTTATTTTTTCCACTTGATGACAGGAGGGAAGTGGGACCATGTGATAGATAGCCTCTTCAGGTATAAATATGATCTACTCCTGAAAGAAAGGAGGCTGGAGGACAAGTGTAACAAATGTTTATTACAATGTTATTTTCCATCTTGCTGCTTACTATCTCTTCTTAGCCTCCCTCAGAATTGGACTGCCGAGACCACAAAGGACGTGGGACCTTTTCTGGTACTTTTCTCAGGAGATGAATTAAGCTCTATCAGCACAAAGGTACCTCTTAAGAAATCTGAAGGAACTTGAAGGGACAAGAAGAGTGGTCAGTTATATTCCACTGGGTTTACTATTACTCAGGGGTTCTGGAAGCTTCTTCCAAGCTCCACTCTAGGATGTCCAAGGTTCAGAAAGAGAGGGTGAGGTGACAGCTGACCATATCCTGGGACAAATGTGTGCAGGCTGGGAGATGTCATTTCTCTAGAGATCTACTGTCTGGGGGTATCCTCCACACATGCCCGTTCAGTGGTCTGACACCCATCAGTGCCATATGTACATGCATATGTTTGTCCATTCTGTACAATCAGGTACAAATGTTTCATACAAAACCAAATCTTTTTTGAGCATGGACTTGGGCATAACATTCTACTGGGGATGTGTGGACAGGTGGATGATCTAGGCCAAGAGATGTGCAAAACAGGCATGAATTAGTCATTTTTTGCTGCTTAACAAACAACCACACAATCTCACTGGCATGCAGCGATAAGGATTTTTTTCTTGCTGATTGGTCTGTGGGTTGCTGGGTCAGCCCCACTCCATGGGTATCTCTGGGGTCTGGGCTATCTGGAGCTGGCTCTTCTCACCATGAAGGTCTGAAACTCCAGAAAAGGAGGTGGAAAAG